ATATATATATACACATACATACACATATATATATATATATATATATACATACATACAGATATACACTGAGTGGCCATATTATTATGACCACCTGACGTTTGTAGGCTAATTAGATATAATTGTGCGCTGATGTTGCTAGAGGGCCAGACCATTATAAATAGGGAAGCGGGTTGTTTACCACGACAGTAGAAGTTATTTTTTTCTGACGATACGGGGAAACAACGCGATTTAACAGCCTTTGCACGTGGGGTGATTGTTGGTCGCTCGGAGCCATGGAGCGAGTATCAGCAAAACAGCAGAATTTGTTAAATGTTCAAGAGCAGCTGTTGTTAAAGTGTTTAAAGACCGGACTGTCAGCCGAAAATCTGGGTCTGAACGTGCGAATTGTGGCCGTCAGCGACTAGTCAATGTCAGGGCAGAACGGAGAGCGGCAAGACTGGTACAAGACAACAGAAAGGCCACAGCGCCGTGTCAGATTCCTCGCATCACCTCTCAACATCTCGTGGAGTCACGAGGCGGCCCAACGAAGTACTGATGGGGTGGTCATAATAATCTGGCCACTCAATGTATATATACATATATACATATACACACACACACACACACACATCTCCTATGAGTTTGGTGTGAATAATTTTTAAAGAGTATCTATCTTCAAAATCTAAACGAAATCTATTTATATACTGAATTCTCATAAGTTCTAGCCCACTCCTAATAACCATATCCATGTAGAAGTTTTGTGAACTTACTTACTGAAGATGCCCATAGGATGGACTTCCTCATTGCACTGACACAATTTAACGCAGCTCTGCGAACATGCACTTCTTTGTGTCACCATTCTAAGCCTGCCATCTGAACTGCAACCCGACATCTGAACCTCCCACAATCTAACATCATCATTGCTCGCTGGAAGCAATGCATGATGGGAAATGTAGTCTTGAAAAATGGAGATTGCATTATAGAATGAGAAAGGGTTATTCCCTCAGTCAGGTGTTTTAATGCGGTCTGTATCGCCATGGGGGACAATTTCTCCTCTGGTGAAGAATACAAATGGCTACGCTGAAACACATTGTGCGATCGATCATAGTTTTCCCTTCCTGTAATTGTCTATATAGCAAGATTCAGACGGGGGGAGAGAGGCAATCAAAGTAACGCTGGGGGAATATCATCTCATGACATCTTTCAGTTAAAGGAGAACTATGGGGTCACTAGAGAGGTGGATGGAGACCTTGGGTTAAAAATCAGACATGACCGGAGATGGGCTTTAACTCAGAGAAACATAAGACTTTTGCTGTCACCAGGGCTGTATTTACTCTCTCTGCTGCCCGGAGGCCAGGTTCTGCAATCCCCCTACCGGCCACCCCATGAAGAATGGCAGACCTGCAGGCTGCATACAAGTGATCTTGACAACATCGCAGAGATCACTTGTGCAAAACAAGCAACGGCTTCCCCGCTGTACATTTAGCTCTGCTTGCCCAAAGCAGGGCTAAATGTAGACAACTGCCCGCCCGGCACTGCATGGCCCGGGCATCGGGAGATTGGAATTCCACACCCCTGCTGCCCCTCTACTCCCTGCTACCCCGAGGTCGGGCCTTGGTTGGCCTTGTAGGAAATCCGGCCCTGGCTGTCACCGTGTGTTGTCTTCACTGACATAACAAATAGAAAGGGCCATGTGTACATCAGAGAAGAAGAGTATAGTTAGTTGAAGGCCAGAGGACATTGCAATGGAAAAATACTGACCTGAGAATGAGTGGTGCTATGGTCGACGTGAGATTCTCCGCAGCCAATGTAAGAACAGCCATTCTGCCAAAAGAAAGAGATACGTCTCCAGCATCCGACAGCGAAAATGTATATAGCCATCAGTACCAATTGTTCCCGACAGTTCTTACCTCTAAACAAGCCCAAAGGTTTGCTCCTCTGACTTTGCAGTCCAGGCAGCTGCCCTGTATACAACATCAAGAGAAGACAATTAGAGGAGAATCATTGCTGGTTTCGGAATCTTTCACCCCCCAGCTGGAATAACATGTTGCGCTCGGGGCCTAACATAACCCGGCTTTCACCCGCACAACTGCAAACCTGCACGTTCCGCCGTCTCCGCTCTGGAGATCAAAATGCGAAGATTAAAAATTGATGCGGAGCTGAATTATACTTCAGTGCAGAAAATAAGGCAGGAAATTGCCTGCATAGCTGGAAATTGGCACGTGTGGAAGCTCAGATCTCCTGACAGCTGCGGTTGAGGGAAATGTTATGAGAAAAATGCTGCAGTTATAGCATGCTTGTTTACACTGATACATGGTGGGACTCCGTGTCAAACTCCGGCCAAAACTAAAGAGGACCTGTCACAAAGCCAGGTAACCAATTTAGAATCATCATTTAGAAGATGTATGTCTTGTACCCGCAGCCTTAAATATTAGTTCTGGGTCTATTACTTTTCTGCTTGCTGCTCTTGAGTGTGACGAGTAGCAAAATCAACTTCCTCACCTATTCTCTATATAGAGCCCCGGTGTCACCTGAAGAGAACTGTAGACAAATAGACCAACAGGAGAGGCTGTAAAAATAGATTTTTATATTGCTTTGGGCTAAGATGTACTGTGCAACATGGCCAAAGGAAGCCCAGGGGTGAAGTGCAAGATTGCACAGGGGGTATACGGCAAGTTGAGTTGAGCCAATTAGAGCTTCTTAAGGGACTGTAAAAACTGCCAGAAGCTCTCCTTACTGACACAAAGATTTTGTAGCTTGCTGGAGAACCTCAACTGTAGCTGGACTCTTCACCAGTGGAGCATCTTGGCTAAGTTGCCCAGTATATCATAGCTCAAAGCAATACCAAATGTTTTCATTTCACAACCTGCCATGTTGTATGTCTGCCCTGGCTTGAGTCAACGGTCCTCGCCTACAAAACAGTTAACTGCTACTACAGAGAAGGTTACTAAACTTTTTTTCTGAAACCCACCTGACCCCTCGGGTCCCATTCCCTCACAACTACTACAGTCACCCACTTGGTTTATTCCACGCTCTCTAACTCACATCTTCAAACTGGATATCTTCCTCTCACCTCTGAAACATGCACTGATCACCCCGAGACTTAAAAAGCCATCACTGGACCCCACCAGTCTGAACAACCTAGATCTTCATTCTCCCATTTACCTCTAGAGTGCCAAGTCTACAACCACCTGAGCTGCTACCCTAATGACAACACTCTTGACCCCTTACAGTCTGGCTTCCACCTTCAATGCTTCACTGAAACTCCCCTTGTAAAATTCACTAATGACTTACTAATTAGTGAAACCAATTGTCAAAATTCCATGTTCATACTACTAAGACCTTTCCGATGACCACCCATTGCATCTCCTTACAAAAACTTCACTCCCTTGGCCTCTAAGTCTCTGCTCTTTCCTGGTTCTCCTACCTATCAAAACTTTCCTTCAGTGTCACCTATTTATTCATGCAAACTTGTACTGAACTCGCTCACACACTGCAGTGCCAACACGTTTGCTAATTATTTACCAAGCGAAGTGCAAAACGTGCCCCATTATTACTGGTGAAATGCAAGGTAATTAAGAACATTGATAAAACACAGTGCAACAGAAGGAAATCCCCAATTACCCCGTGTGCATATTTTTGGAATAGGCCAGATTGCACTTACGTGCGACTTCTGAATAAGTTCCTCTTTGGTCACCTCACCCACAGATTCTAAATGGGGGCAGCCACATGCCAGCGAGGTCATTTTAGAGTCCGCAGCCTCTCAATCTGCAATATAAGAAAACATTATTGTATATTGGGCAAAGGACAGCAGAGTCCTAAATCAAGAATCTCATAAGACTGTTTTTCCCAATCCTTTACCCAGGTCCCCGCAACTGGTATTGTTAACGCAAACAAAAAGCCAAATAGCATTATTAAGTCAGTAATTCCTCTACCTCTGCATATGTACATGAGGTTACCTATAAAACATGGATCACAGTACTCTCCCTGATAATGTCTTCACCTTCCTTCTCCCCAGAAGCCCGCCACTATCTTTCCTTACTCACCAGTCAGGGTCAGACACTGCATCTAATCCAAGTAGCCGAATTATATTAGGCCCAATTACAGGGGTCATTTTGGCAAAGAATCTACAGATTTTTGCGGCAGGAATGCCCAGAGCCATAGCTAGCTCCTTTTGCGCCCGAGGCAAGAACAAATAAAACAGGCGTGTGACGTAACCCAACACCGCACAGCGTCATGTGACGTCATGCGCCCCGGATCCAGGATGTTTTTTTATTATTTTTATTTTTTCACTTTGTGGG